GATTTCTTTCTTCAGCATAAAAGCTTCATATTTATAGCTTTTTCAACAGATCATAGGAAAAAATATGTTTCTGTTCTCCTTCTCTGATGAAAAATAACCCTGGTCTCAAGCTTTCAACATCAAAAAGACTCACGACTGCTCCTGAAATGTGTTTATTTCTATGATTCGGTTTAAGAAACACAGATTGGGCACCTGCTGGGCCGTAGGCATCATGTTAAGTACCAGGCGGCCAAAAGTGATGGCGTGCCCTCTGTCAGGAAGGAGAGAGTTGAGACACAAACAGAGAGGATGACCGGGGAAGATGCGGGCAGTTCCTGGTGGGATAGAGGCTTGCAAAGATGTCAGAAGCCAAGACTATATTGTTGTAGTTGCCTATATACCTGTGTAACTCACTCCCTGGACTGCCTGCATCTTAGTATCCCTGGAATGGGCACATAGTAGGTGCTCAGGAAATATCCATAGAATGGACCAATAACTCAAGAGAAGCAGGAAGAGATAAGAAGAGAAAACAGCACAGAGAGATATCGATCACATTTGGGGCATTGCAGCATAGAGCTTTGTATTTTTATGCTTTAAACATTTCTCTGCTTTTTATTAGGATATCGACAGCACCGATCATGACAGATGGTGTGAATATATTATGTACCGAGGGCTGATCAGGTGAGCACAGGGGTTTGATTTTTATTTTTTCATCTCTTACTACTGTGATATTTTGGGTTTACCCTAGAAGGAAAACTTTATGGAAGCAATTAATTTTTGTTACTTTTTATAAACATTGATTTGGCTGGTTATGCAGTTTAACTTTTTTCTTCCAAAGCGTGGTCTCATGATTTATGAAGGTATAAATAGCTAAGCAAATTAAGCTGAATTATATAACAAGGATACTGCATGTGTAAGCTATATAGTGCGGTAAGTACGGGTACGTAGCTGTCGCCACATGTCAGGAATGGCACCACTTCTGACTGTGGCCTGGTAGAAATAGCATGGAGCATGGAATGAGAAAGTCCTGGGCTTGAATTCCACCTTTGCCAGCCTCTAATCAGTGATCTTGGGTAAATTGATTGATTTGTGGGGGACATTACTACACTGTAGTGAGATCTCTGGATAAATTATGTTTGTTTTCAAAAAAATCTCATATAAAAATATTACCTAAGTGTGTATGTGTATGTGTGTGTGTACTTGGATAGCAAATGCTTGCATACACACATGTGCCACGTAATGGTATTTTAATCAACAACAGACCAAATATACAATGGTGGTCCCGTAAGATTATAGCATCATATTTTTACTGTACCTTCCCAATATTTAGATATACTTAGTTATCCAAATATTTACCACTGTGGCTGGGCACAGTGGCTCACTCCTTTAATCCTAGCACTCTGGGAGGTCCAGGCAGGAGGATCGCTTGAGCTCAGGAGTTTGAGACCAGCCTGAGCAAGAGGGAGACCCCGTATCTACTAAAAATAGAAAAATTAGCTAGGTGTCATGGAGGGAGCCTGTAGTCCCAGCTACTCAGGTGGCTGGGGCATGAGGATCTCCTGAGCCCAAGAATTTGAGGTTATCGTGAGCTATGATGATGCCATGACACTCTACCCCGGGTGCCAGAGGGAGGCTCTGTCTCAAAAAAACAAAACAAAACAAACAAAGAGACCCACAGATATTTCCCATTGTGTTACAGTTGTGTACGGCATTCAGTATAACAGCAGACTGTACAGGTTTGTCATCCAGGAGCAACAGCCTGGGCCACATAACCAGGTGTGTGGCAGGTGACACCATGTAGGTTCGTAATACACTCTGCTGTCTGCGCAGTGATGGTGTCACCTAGTGACATGTTGTCAGAACACATTCCCTCCGTTACGTGATGCGTGAGTGTGTGCATATAGTGACCCAAAACAATACGGTCAATTGATCTCAAAATTCACGTATATAACTGAAAATCATTTTGAAGGCAGTAGTTCCATAAGTAAATCAAGGAGCAGCTTTATTAAGCTTAATTTCTTAAGAAAAAAGAGGGGCTAACCATTCATTCATTCATTCATTCATTCATTAGTATTTATTAAACATTATGTGCCAAGTGTTGCTCTAGGGAGTGGGGATGTAACAGGAATAAAACAAAATCCTTGACTATCATAGAACGTCCATTCCAGTAGAAGGAGACCAGAAAACAAGCAGATAAGATGTGATAGACTTTCCGAGGTGGAGATGTGTATGAGGAAAGAAAAAGAATAAAGCCAGGTGAGAAGGAAGGGCATGTCAGGGTGGCTGCGGTGGGTGACGTCGGGTGCGCAGGGCAGGAGGGGGCAGAATGGACTGAGGGTGCCCTCTTGCCTGCTTCCTGGAGAAGGCACTTCGGGCAGGGTCAGCAAGTGTAAAAGCTTGAGGGGAGGACGCTGGGCATTTGGGGTAAGAGCGAGAGGCCAGCGTGGCTGGAGTGGGGATGGGAAGTGACGTGAGGGTGGTGGGTGGGGGCATACTGCTTGGCACAGCGCTGATTCCCAGGCCCGTCCTCCTTCAGGCCTCCCATGGAGGGAACATGCTGTAGACCTTGCCCGAAATTCAGGGGTGGGGGAAGGACTCCTCTTAGTACAGAATCTGTTTGGCGATATTTGACCTGACACTCCATGGCGCGGATTCTAGGTTGGACCTCTCTGGGCCATAGTCTCTCCTCCATCCAGAGTAACTCATCACCCAGGGGCATCTTGGCGCTGCCTGCCTGAAGTTAGGGGCTTATGAGGAACTGAACACCCCTTCAGCAATTTTATATTCTAAGATCTGTGGCCTGCATTGATGAGAGAAAATGGTTGCCTTCTCAGGGTGATAGAGGATCACGAAGTCAGCTCTGAGTTACACTCCAGTAAAGCAGACTGTTAGGGTCCCCCCCTCTGTACCCCATTTGTCATTCACCCAGTACCGACCAAGCAGAATGGACACCAGGCATCGTTGTGAAAGTGTAAGAGTAGGATCCCTGCACTGACAGAGGAGGGGACGGCCAGCATAATGAATAATTGTAGGACATCTTATTTGGGGTGATGAGATGCTGGGAAAAGTGCAGGTGGGGTGCAGCTGTTAGCAGATGTCGGGTAGGTCCTCCTGAGAAGATGACATTTGAGCCAAGCTTTTGAAGAGTGGGCCATGTGGCTGCCCGGGAGAAGACCCTTCCTCATAGAGAAATCCTTTAGTGCAACAGCCCAAGGCAGGAATTGGGAGCGTATTTGAAGAAAAGTGAGGCTAGTAGGGCTGGAAAGTTTCAGGGTGCAGTGGAGTGGGGGGCAGGGGAATGTGCAGGCAGGGACAAAGGGAGCGGGCCTTGGGAGGCTCTGTGGTCCCTGACCAGGGACTTTGGATACTCCTAAGTAAAATGGTAACCTTTACTGGTTACCAGTACGCTCCGCGGGTTCAGACGCTTACTGAGCTGGGTCAAGGAGACCCTTGAGATGCTAAACTTGTTCTGCTTACTCAGCAAATTCAGAAACTTCAAAAGGCTCAGCACAGATCCACACGGCCACAGGATAGATAGCTATTGCTTCGGTGTGTTTCCCAAGGATCGAGTAGGAGAGAGTAAGTTTCATTAGGGGTTAGTTTTATAAAGTATTTTATCTTGGATTGAAAATGCTTTCTGTTCTGGGTGGTGCCTGTGGCTCAAAGGAGTTGGGCGCTGGTCCCATATAGCAGAGGTGGGGGGTTTAAATCCAGCCCTGGACAAAAAAAAAAAAAAAAAGAAAGAAAGAAAGAAAGAAAATGCTTTCTGTTCAAATACGTTAAAGTGGACTCAGTGCCTGTAGCTCCGTGGCTAGGGTGCCAGTCACATACACCAAGGCTGGTGGGTTTGAATCCAGCCTGGGACTGCCAAACAATAATGACAACTACAACCAAAAAATAGCTGGGCATTGTCCCAGCTACTTGAGAGGCAAGAGAATCACGTAAGCCCAAGAATTTGAGGTTGCTGTGAGCTCTGAAGCCACGGCACTCTACCCAGGGTGACAGCTTGAGACTCTGTCTCAAAAACAAACAAACATAAAACAAATACTTTGAAGTGATTGTTTTAATAGGAATATCAGGATTTCTAGAGAACAGTTTTTAATATAGGCTAAAATAAGCATAGTTTCAAGTTGTAAAAAAACGTGTGAAAGGCTGGGCATGGTGGTGTGTTACACGTGTAATCCCAGCACTCTGGGAGGCAGAGGCAGGTGGATTGCCTGAGCCCAGGAGTTCACGACCAGCCTGAGCCAGAGCGAGACCCCATCTCTAAAAAAATAGCTGGGCATTGTGGCATTGTAGTAGTTCCAGCTAGTTGGGAAGATGAGGCAAGAAGATCGCTTGAGCCTAGGAGTTTCACCATGACACTCTACTGAGGACAACAAAGTGAGACTCTGTCTCAAAAAAAAAAGTTAGGGCACCAAGGTACAGTGGTATGTATAGTAACCACTGTCTACAATAGCTAACTGCTCTGAGACCTTTAATACCGTTCCTTAGGAGAATGAGATTACTTTGTGTATGTGTGTGTGTGTGTGTGTGTGTAGTATATACACTTTTATACATTCATGAACATATGTATGTGATATATATGTGCATATATAATCTTAACTGTTAAGACTGTGTGTTAGCCTGATCTGTGTCATAACAGATACCATAAACTGGATCGCTTAAACAACAGAAATTAATTGTTTGGCAGTTCTGGAGACTGCAAATCCAGCATCCAAGTGCCCACAGGGCTGGTGTCTGGGGCAGGCCATCCCCCTCGGTCTCACACAGCCTTCTTGCTGTGTGCCCTTGGCACGTGGTTGCAGAGAGACACAAGGTCCTGGGCGTCTCTTCTACAGACACTAATCCACTGGGACTGGCCCCTCAGGACCTCATTTAACCTGATTTCCTTGGAGGCCCCATTTCTAAATATGGCCATCCTGGGAGTTAGGGCTTCAGCATATGAATTTTGGGGGGAGATGCAAACATTTGGTCCATAACGTAGAGGAAGGTCATTCTAAGGATCCTCAAATTAATGAAGTCAGGGACTAATGTTTTTCACTTTCTGTCCACAAAGCCAGTTCTATAAACTTTATCTCAAATCACCTAATTCAATGCCCTGCACATAGTAGGTACTTCATAAATACATACTATTATCCCCCAACGATGGGAGATCCTTCCCCCCCTTATAATGTTTATGTTAGGGTCTTGTTTCATCACCCTGGCTGGAGTGCAGTGCTGTCATCATGGCTAACAGCAACCTCAAACTCCTGGGCTCAAATGATCCTCCTACTGCAGTCTCCCACCTGGGATTACTGAAGGCGTGTCCCATCATGCCTGGCTGATTTTTGTATTTTTAGTAGACACAGAGTCTCACTCTTGCCCAGGCTGGTCTCCAACTCCTGGCTGCAAGCAGTCCTACTGACTCAGCCTTCAAGAGTGCTAGGATTACAGGCATAAGCCACCATGCCTGGCTGAGGTTCCCTATTTTCATGGAAAATTTGGATTGTCAAGCCCTTATCTTCAGGGAGACTGGACAGCTTTTGGAGTATCCTTGAAGGTGGTGTTTATGAAATGAGTTAGAATTTTGGTCTTAGAGATTTGGGAAATAATTAGCTTAGATTTACTAGAGACAGTGGCCTAGAATTAGAAGGAACTGCCCGGATCTGGAACCTGAGCTTGAACTAGTGCGTTAGCCTGTCCCATAGCTCTAAGCCACATGTGGCGCTCAATCACAGCTCTTTTCATCTCCCTGGTGGGCAGGCCTGCTGCCTCCGCTGGCCCTGGGTCTGGGTTTCTGTTTCTATTTTGTGTATAGTTACAGGCTTTGGTCTAAGGCATCTCCTCCTACCGCTGTAGACCAGGCCCCTGTCACCTTTTACCTACAGTATGGCGGTGGCCTCCTATCTGGTACCTTGGTGTCAACCCTTTCTCTGAAGTCTGTTCTCTAACGGTAGCCAGCACATACCTCTACCCTACACCCCTCTAATGAATTCCCATGTCATCCTTAAACAAACAAACAAGAAACCAACAACAGGGTGGCACCTGTGGCTCAGTGGGTAGGGCACCAGCCCCATATACCAAGGGTGGTGGGTACAAGCCCATCCCCAGCTGAACAGTAACAAAGAAATAGCCGGGCATGGTGGCCGGCACCTGTAGTCCTAGCTACTTGGGACGCTGAGGCAAGAGAATCACCTAAGCCCAGGAATTGAAGGTTGCTATGAATAGTGTGACACCATGGTACTCTACTGAGGGTGATAAACTAAGACTGTCTCTACAAAAACAAAACAAAATAAAAAAACAACCCCAACAACCTCTGAAAGCCAGATGCCATGGCTCAAGCCTGTAATCCTAGCACTTTGGGAGGCCAAGGTGGGTGGATTGCTTGAGCTCAGGAATTCTAGACCAGCCTGAGCAAGGGTGAGACCCTATATCTACTAAAAATAGAAAAGCTAGCCAGGTGTGGGGGTGGGCACCTATAGTCCCAGCTACTCAGGAGGCTGAGACAGGAGGATCATTTGAGCCCAAGAGGTTGAGGTTTCTGTGAGCTGTGATACCACAGCCCTCTACCCAGGGTGACAGAGAGATTCTGCTCCAAAGCAAAACAAAACACTCTGAAGTCCTTTTGGCAGCCTGGAAGGAAGTCACTGCGTCATCTGCTCCCTCCCTGCCCCAGCTTGTGTCTTGCCGTGTTTCCTCTTATGCACTTCTCCAGTCATGGGGAACTGGCCCTCAAGACACCAAGCACATTCTACCACAGGACCTTTGCACTTGCAGTTCCCTTTCCCTAAAACACCCTTCCTCCTGTCACTCTGAATCTTGCGCCTCATTTCATTGAATCTTTTGTTCCAGTATCTCTTTATCAGAGAAGTAAGCCCCCAGCCATCTGCCACAAAATCAGAACCTCTTCCATCAGCCCTCCCCACCCCCCTTCTCTGTGCCCCCCCCCCCGCACTTATCTGTCACTTACCTGGTGGATTGTGTTCACACACTGACGTCTACTGTGCAGGGACTCCATTCTGGTCCCTCCCCAGCCCCGGTACCTAGAGCAGTGCTGTGTGTTTCAGGACTCCTTACATATGTTTTCTCCATTGAATAAATGAATGACTGAATCTGGCCTACTTTTTCTTGAAAAGGCAAAATGGAAATAAAATCAAATGAATTATTTACAGCTTGCAGTTCCCCCATTTTTCCATCTGAACTTCTCAGTAAGAACTATTTGGATAACATCTATAAAGTGCTTTGGATTTCCTGAAGAATTGAAAGCTCTAAGCCAAAACAGGATGTGAAATTTTTTCACGGAATGTAAAATCTTTTATTTTACACTCCTAAGGGTGGCTGTAACTATGCATGTGGTATTTGGATTTTTAAAGGTAAGGGAGGATTTGGGCAAACACTCCTATCCTTCTGCAGAATTCCTGTTATTAACTCAGAACATGATTGTGTGGGAGGCAGCGATTTGAGTAGATGGAATATTCATTAATGTAAAAAGGTAAAATAAGGCTGCTAGAATATTAGTTAATTACATCTATGTATATATTCCTTATTCATTTATATCTAAAAGCAATGTTTTTATTAATTCTAGTGATATACAGAGGAGAGTTAGTAATAGAAAATTGGCTTGTTAATGACAGTCCTGTCATCGAGACCTCATTATATTTCCATATGGTTATAAAATCTCTACAAACCATTTCTGTTTCTGCTACAGACTGGGTTATGCAAGAATCTCCCATGCTGAACTGAGTGATTCTGAAATTCAGATGGCCAAATTTAGGATCCCTGACGACCCCGTTAATTACAGAGACAACCAAGAAGTGGTCATAGACCCCAGAAAGGTTCCCAGGAGAATTCATTTCAATCCCAGGTGAGGAGTTCCTTTATGTTGCGTGCTACATTAATGAGCTACTGCACCCCCTCTAGGGAACCTACGTGTCCCCTCAAAATGAGCTAGAAATTATACTTGGTTCTAGAAGTTTGTTTCAGGTAAGGGAGCCCATGGTAAAAATGATAAAATCCTGCTTGGATTAAAGTTATGGTTCGTGTTCTGTGGAATGGAGAGACATGTTGTAATCACCACC